CCAAAAGTAAATAATACACAACGAATAAAAGTATAGTAATAGATTAATATATATTAATGTGTGGACAAACATATATAGAAACAATCAGTATAAATGATAACAAGAAGATAAATGGTAAATAAATAAATAATAAAATATGCAATAATAAAGAAACATACTAATAAATAAATAATAAAACATATAATAATAGGGAGACATATATGTTTTTTGAGCCTTGGCAACACTGCTTGAAAAACAGTTCCAGTGCCAGAATACATAAATGTTGTGCAGAAACTGATAATGCAAGATCGTCATGTGACAGACAAACTGTGAAATCGAGGGAATACAAGAGATTCGTTCTACCAACATATATAAAATATTGCATGATCATGACATAAGTTTGTTAGTTTGTGTTGGATCCCTTATCCTTTGATAAAATCTCATAAGATGGTCGCGTCGATTGGTGCACATAAATGATCAAGAAGTACAATGGCAGTGCTACGATATACGTATATAAAGTTGTAACAGGTGACTAATAATGGATATATGCGTATGATCCGGAACGTCGACCATACAGGAGAGTGTACTGTATTGTTTGCTTTTTTTTTCGGGTAAAATTTAAAAAGATTCTAATAGCAAAGAAAAAACAAGCACAAAAATTTAGTTAATTTATTGAAATCAGGCTGAGCATATAACGCTGAATCGAGTTTTTACAAAATACTTATCATCAGTGGTCTTAGAAAATATTATAATTTCTTTTTAATTCGCTAATAGTCCATATATAATTGTTTGAACTGCAAGTGCCAGGATTACAACTCGTGCCACAAGTAGTCAAAGCTGTACTAACTTTCAGAGCACAAGTCTCAGGTTTTTTGTCATTTTTTAATTTACGAGCTTATAAACCACAGCTTTAGTTGGAAACATAAGTTCAACGAATTGAAAGTTAACTTTTGAGATTACCTAATTTTTATCAAAGCTATTCTTTTTGCAGACATTTGTTAAGCATAATTTTGCTTATGTATAAAGAGCCTTTTTGGTGCCATTTTCAAAAAAAGAAAATCGAATATTTTCTAAGCACTTGGCGATACATGAAACAACGTTGTATGATCAGTCAAATCTCAATAAATTAACTAAATTTTTGTGCTTGTCTTTTGTTTGCTATTCGAATCCTTTTAAAAGATGCAATCTAATAATATATTACAATAAAGCAGAATATTGCAAGAATAATGTGATATAATAGAATCCACAATTGTGTAAATTAATAAAAATGAGAAATAATAAGGAAACGGATAAAGTATTGTAATGATCAATTTTTTAGTCGATATAAAATTTATCTTACAGCTATAAGTACCTAGAATAGGCAAGATATTAAAATTATCGAATTGTAAATATTTCACTGATATTACCTCGACTCATCACGCATATAATTTTCTGCATAAAATACCAAAGTGTGCTCTTACTTTACGAAGTCTTCGAATAATTTCACTGCAAATAAAAACCGCAAATCCGGATATTCGAAGACTTCAGATTTACAAAAAATCCGATTTTATTTTCAACTTCAAAGACTTCGTTGAAATCCGATTATTCGAATAATCGGAGAACTTCGTTTTTTAAAAAATTTGAATATGAACAGCACTACTCATCACTGCTGGCCCACAAGATTGATTCCAACGGAGCTCTGTTATTGTAAAAAAGGGAAAATAATGTTAGTGGAACATAAAAAAAATAATGAAATGAAATGAAATATTTATTAATATTTAATACATACCATTATAAGCCTACTTACCAAAACCCATTCCGCTTGCACGCTACTGTAATACCTCGATGTGATCTGAAATTGAATTTACATACCTCAATTACTCACTTATTAAATATTTATGGTAAATATATATTTTATTATATTATAATAAATTAATAGATATTTATTAAAAAACCTATCATTCATGGCGTCAAAATATAATTCTCCACAAACAGATGCACAAGAAAGCTGAGAGTGCAGCTTAAGCATCGCACGTAAGTTGAAAGGAAGAATAGAAACCAACGGTGAAGTCAACAAAAACTCCCACAAATCTGAAAATGAAATATTCTAATAACGATGAAGTGAAAGTTTGCTAACAGACCGCGAAATAAGGTAATAGGAAAAACTAAGGATTTACCAGTTATAAGAATGTGATATAAAAAGCTAAAGTCCGTTGGATAGAACGGAGTGCTGTTTTGAACTACACTTAACCGAATCTAGCAGTAACTAAACAGTTTGCTCGATTTCCAATTATTAAGACATAAATTGAGGACATAACGCTGAACTACAAATATCAAATTTACTGCTAAAACAACGGACCGTTAAATGGCAGCTGTATTGATGAAATCCCGCTGCAAATCCTAAAACAGCTAAACCAGAACGACAGATAATCATCGAACGTTAAATTCTAAAATTTATTTTAATTTTAATTAGAATGATCAAATATATAAACAAGAAAAAAAAATTTAACCTTTATTTATTGTTTTTATTATGAAATTCAGATCGTATAAATACGACTAAGTTCAATTTTTTTATTTGATTTAATAAGTTAGATATAATTTTTATTCTAATTTGTTTAAAAAATCAGAAATATGTATACATATACATATAAGACGTATTAGTTTGAAACTCAAATCGTAGAAATTTTGCATTATATTTAATTAATTCAATTGAGTTCAATTCTTTTATTTCTTGTCTTAATAAGTTAGATATATATTTATTTGCTCTTAATTTGTTTAAAAAAACCTAAAACTCGGTTTCATAAATATATATATAAAAGATATTAGTTGTAAATGCACATCAATTGTCCAGAAGTTCTTTTTTTGTATATCGCTATCGATTCTAACAAAAATAATTAATTTGTTTGTTTGTGTCTAATATCATAATTAATAATATTATATAATATAATACTTGGTATATGTTATAGTTTTTTTTTTATTATTTATTACACCTAATAAACATTGGTATTAATAATTTATTGGTAAATAAATGTACATTGGAATATAACTAGTTGAAATTCTTTGTTTCTTGCTTCTAATTTTCTAGTCAATTTTTTTTTCTTCTTTTGTAAATCTTGTATTGAACCCTAGTATACTCTGAGGTTTTTACATTATGTCAGGAAAATAATAAAAATTAAATAAATAATTATGTTCATTATGTTAATTGTGCATATCCTTGTTATGAGATGCGCATACAGCTTCAATGAAGTGCAAATTGTCACCAAATAAAGAAAGTGATGCGATATAGCAATACAGCAACCAGTTTACGATACGACGGAATAAATAACAGGATAGCATGTTTTAATGAATGTCAAAGTGTTTCAAAATAAACGATACAAATACCAAATATAACAGAATAATAGTGTACAATAGACTACACGACACGCTGTAAAATGTGGAATAGTACGAAATAATATTGGCCGACTATGCAGATGGTGGTTAGCACGGACACAAATACAAAAAAAAAACAAGACGAAAATTCCACAGAATAGAAGTAGGAATGCATAAAATATTCAAATATGGTATGGTACACAACTAAAAACGGTACAGTACAAAACATAAATATCAAGGGAGTATCCATGATAAGAACCATTAAAGCAGTATAGCAGAATATCAATAGTAAATTGAAGACAGAGACTTAAGTGGCCATTAGACATTAAAGTGCTGCATCAAAACTAGAGTACTGCACGCGCGCATTTGATTTCAGTTTCAAAGCATTCTATTGTGTTTAGAATGGTAGCATACTCTCACTCTCAACGAACAAATACGAATGTATAGGCATAAAAACAAAATGGAATAGAATAAATATTTGTTTCGTTTGTTTAGAGTACTCTAACTCTAAACATTCTAAAAGTAGTTGAAGTAGTTGGAAGTACTCTAAGCATTTGATTTTCAGTTCATACAAAAATTATGTGTTTTTAAATAGTAAGACACAAATTTATTTATTCAAGTTTTTTTATTAATTAAATATTATTTAAAATGTTGATAATAGTAATTTGTTGATTACATATATAATATGACTTAATATATTAATTAAATATAAAAAAAATTTTGAACAAAAATTTATTTAAAAAAATTATAATAAGTTTTTTTACAGTTTTTACAGTTCACAAATTTAATTTAATATGCAAATTAAATGTTGAGCATCGTCTGACTTAATTCCTCTTTTTCAAGATTGTTGTGTAAAACATGATTTGATTGATAGATCTTTGATTAGATGAAATCAATGTTCTTTTTTCTGATATTAAGTTCCGAGCAACTGAAAAAACCCTTTCTGAAGATGCACTACTTGCTGGTGTTGCAAATAATTTACAAGAAACTTTGTAAAGTAGGAATTCTGAAGGAATTCTTAAGAAATTTCTAAAAATCTCTCTTGTCATAAATAGATATTTTTACCATATCATGCATAAAATTATTTTCCAGGAAAAGGTAAATATGTGAAGCAATTTATTTTGTTACATCATAAAAAACTATCGATAAAGAAGGAAATTCTGCGCAAACCGTTTTTTTAAGTTAACCTTTTGCATTAGATCTACCTGTTTAAACAACTTTTGCATTGAAAATAATAGAAAATTAAACCTAATTTACGTACTTTGTTCTTGCAATTATTGCAAATCTCTACGCACATCCAACTTTCTTTACTTTTGCGCAGGCAACCAAACGCACACAAAATATATAAAATATTTCTTTGCATAAATAGA